AAAAGAGAGAGAGAAAGGGGTTTAAGGCTAAGAGAAATGTATGCGTTCAGAAGCCAGCATACCAAACAGATAGAAATTGCAAGACTGATCTGCTAGGCTAGATTGTACAAAACCACAAACATTGTATAAACACCAGATTCTAGGACATGGAGGAATTCCTAAAAGATTTTTTTTGTTTTGTTTTGTTTTGTTTTGTTTTGCTTGTGCTAATATTGTGAGAAGGCTGGTTTAAGGAAATTAACCTGCCAGTTGTGAGAGGGAGTAGAAAAGTTGTTCTGTAAACAATTAATAGAAAATGTAGTTTCTAAAAGTTTTGACTTTGAAGTGCTTCCCTTAAATTTTAATCCCAAACATAGTCATTATATTTGCAAATAAATTAAAGAGAAAAGACTAAATGAAGTGCAATTCTACCAAATATCAAGGTATATTTAGTGGCCACAACTAGCCAGAAAGGCATAGCTTTCTGGATTTGCACTCAACAAACAAACTTAGATATTAAAGCATTCATTTACATTTATGGGAGGCAAAATACTAATAAATAATTTCTAGCTGTACTTTATTATTTGATAACAATCTGGGTGTTACCAACACTATATTAAGCGGTAGCAGCAAAATAAAAGTAATGTCTTCTATTTTGTTGATGAACTGCATTGTTTCATTGCTGTATTTGTCATTATGTGAACTTATATCATTTTTCACACCATTTAATAGATTTTCCATATTATCAAGGCTATCTATATTTCTGTTCTGAGTGGATTTTAATGTTAGTTTACATTTGGGAAAGAACTAAAGACTCTCACTTCCAACAAGGCGCTGTGATAGGTGGAAAAATAATAGGTTTTCATCAGGGCTAAAGTAAGAAAGGTAGAAGAATTCCCATAAAATCTAAATAACTAGACCACATACTCAAGATATTGCCCCAGAAATTATTGCCTATAACTTTTATTTAATTTCTTGTGAAATACATGTTTCTGAAGGTTAACAGCAATCATGGAGGCAACATCAAAGAAAACCCAGCTGTTAATTAACTAGCATGGAAGCAGATTCTGGTGTCTCTGAAACCCTGCAGAACTTCTTGACTGTAACTTAAGGTGTAAATCCTACACAGTGTCTCTGCCATTACTTGTCACACAGTTCCAATCCGTCCTACTGGCAAGGGCCTATTCCAGGACCAGAAATTGACAAGCATGCACATTTCTGTATCTATTGAGTGAAGATTCACTGAGCACCTGTGAGTAGTAAAATTGAACTGTGTAAATGGAGGAGAGCTGTGAGGCTAGAAGGGTGATGGGGGTCATAATGTTTCATCTTAAGTGTCTGTGGTGGAAACTCCTTGACTTCTTCTGTAGGCTGCAATGAAAGAATGCAAGTCCCCCTGCCTCTTCCACCCACAGGCCAGATCAAAGCGCTCAGATGATGCCACATACTTCACAGAGTGGGTACATAGCCAAATGAAATGGAGCCCTTCAAAGTGCAGTAGGAGATGAAAGCAATGGTCAAAGTCCATGACCTGCTTCTGACTCCAGTGATTTCTGTTTGGTAAGTCATAGCAGCTGGAATCAAATCATCTTACCTTTTATAAACAAATTTGAAATGTGGATCAAATGGTCTAGAGATAGGCTATACAAGAATCTGGTTCCTTTGTTCACTAAAGAAAATAGTATCCTACGGAGATGCACACACTGACTTGAGTGAAAAAGAATATTTTGGGATTGGGAGCTAGGACAATGGATAAAGCGTTTCTTGAACAAGCATTAGGATCTGAGTTCCATCTGGCATAAGCCATGTAAAAAGCCAGGCACGGAGATATGTTCTTATAACCATAGCACTGTCTCAAAAATATGAGGTGAATAGCTCCTGAGGCCCAATGTCCCAGGTTGAACCTATATGCACACATACATGCATACATATTTTCACACATGTATAAACATGCACACACATCTGCTCACACACACAAAGGTATGTGGGTGAAAGTGTTGAGTATTTACACTGTTGCTGTCTACCTGTCAAGCAGCTTGAAGTGAGGAAATTGTACAGCTAAGCACCTTTACCTTCTGTGTGTATGTGTGTGAGAGAGACAGAAACAAGAGATAGATAGATAGATAGATAGATAGATAGATAGATAGATAGATAGATAGACAGACCAGAGACAGAAAGAGAGAGATACATGTTTCCTTTAGGAAGTATTCTGTCCTTCGACTGGACAGAAGGAAAATGAACTCAGGGAAAAGATTGCATCATTAATAAAGAGTCACTGTGCAGTTTTCTTTTAAGTTGGTAGTATTTTTTGTTTTAAATATAATTAGTTTTCTAATGTTTTAAAGTTTAGTTATGGCTAATCCATTCCACTACTTCCTTACTCTAATTTTTCTTTCTTTTCCTTTCCTATTTCCCATTTGCAGAAAGTCACCTGTATGGTGGTTTTAGTGAGAATGGTCCTCACAGGCTCATATGTTTGAATACTTGGTCCCAGTTGGTCAAATTCTCTGGGAAGGATTAGGAGGCAGAGGTGTGTAATGGTGATGGCTCTGAGGCGTCAAAAGCCTCCAGCCATCTGCCATTCCCAAAGAAGTTGGTAACAGAATGTGTGTTATATAAATCTGACCATGCTGGTTTCTGGAGGAACGCAGATTTGGGGAGTTAAGCTGGAGAAGCAACTGAATGCTAAACCGAGGCTAACAAGCCATCCTATGAGGAGCTTGGAAGATGTAAGTGCTAAGAACAAGGTAGACTGTTGAGGTCCATCCAGATCAAGGGGTTTCAATTTTAGCAACTCAGTAAGAGACCTGCTCTTGTGGCATTTTGACAAAGCATGGAGCTGATTACTGCCTTCATCCTAAGAACTTTCTTGACACCAATCAAAAGTAATGGAAGAATTTCTTTGGTAGAAGAGATTTCAAGGTAGCCTAATATTGACTCTGTCCTGAGGTTCTTCGTAGCCACTGTCTGGCGGGGGTACCACAGAAAAGAGCAAGTGAAGCACAAAGAAATACAAAGTGTTCAGCTTGAAGAGAGAAAAACACCAGAGAGTGTACTGTTGGAGCCAAGGCTTGTTCTGGAACAGACAAAGAGATTTAGAAGATGCCTGATCCCCATTGCAACTAAGTGGTGTGTGTGTGGGGGGGGGCTTCATAGCAAGACCCCATCCAACTAAGCTTCTAAATTAGCAAAGGAAAAGGCCTAAGGAGTTTCACACTTCTAAAACAAACAAACAAACAAACAAACAAACGCTGCTGAAAATGTGTAGCCAGAGTTGATGGTTTGGTTCACATGGTTCTGGCTTTACAGTGATGAAAGATAAATGAGTAAAGAGGTTATTGAATCTTCCTCAACCGCTAAGGGGAGTTCCTGAAATCAGGCATGTAGCAGGGGGTCTCTGTATAGAGGCCCTGAGAGGCCACTGTATGAAACTGTGAAAGTGATGTCTGGATTGTGTCGGGGACTTTAAGATGTTGGAGATGCCAAAGCCAAGAGATTTCTGCCATGAAGAGCTTCAGAAGGGGGAGTGGAACCATTCCGAGAGAAGTGTGCTGGAATCAGCAAAGCCAGAAGGGTGTCATCTAAGCCCTTTGACATTAGACAAGGAGCTACCAGGATTTGGAATTTGCCCTGCTGGATTTCAATCTTGCTTTGGTCCAGTGTTTCCTCACTATGTCACCATTCCTCCCTTTTAGATTGGTAATATATATTCACTGCCATTGTATGTTGGAAATGTGATTTGGTGTTTGATTTTACAAGGGATTGCAATTAAGAGACTGCTTTGAGTCTCAGAAGAGATTTGGCACTTTCAAACTGTGTTGAGATTGTGAAAGACTATGGGGAATTTTGAAGTTGGACTAAATTTATTTTGCATTATGGTATGACCAGAAGCCTATGAGGGCCAGGAAGTGGAATATGGTGGTTTGAATGAGTAGAGCCCTACATGGGCTTTTGTGTTTGAATTCTTGGTCCACAGTTGGAGGTACTGCTTAGGAAGGATTAGGAGGTACAGCCTTGTTGGAGGAAGCATGTTATGGGGTGAGCTTCAAAAAGCTCCAGCCATTCCTAGTGACCCCGGCTTTCGGTTTGTGGATTGGAACTTTCAACTACTGCTCTAGAGCCATGAATGTCTGCCTGCTGCTGAGCTCCCTACCATGAGAGGGGGTGACAGCCTCCTATCCCTTAGGGACTGTAAGATCTAAATAAACCCTGCTATCATTGAGATACGCAAAACTGTTTCCTTGATCATTGTGTTTTTAATCACAGCAATAGGAAAATAACTAATACACCATGTAAAAGAACTATGATGGGAAGAGAGTTGATCATCCAGAGTCAGGGGAGGGTTAAATTTGCATCAGCCATGAATTAACATAATAATTCATTTTCTCATTATTGCCTTTTAAATTTATTTTATGTGTTGGGTATGCTCATGTGTTGATGTGTTGGGTGTTCACATGCAGTTATGTGTATGTGAAGGTTGGAAGACAGCTTGAAGGATTCTGTTCTCTTCTACTGTGTGGCCTCTGGAGATTGAAGTCAGGTCTCAAGCATGGTGGAGGCCATCTTTCCCGTTGAGCTGTCTTGTTGGCTCTATTTTTTTTTAATCTCATTTCTAAATTACTGTCATGCAGATTCTTAACCCAAAGGTATTTGGGAATTTAAATTATCTAGGTTATTGTTTTGCTGTTTCACAGTGTGCAAACACCACACCAAGTGAAATTGGGAAAGTGAACTCAAGGATGGCAGGAAACATTAGCATTGAAAAAAGTTACTGAATAAATAGTTGCAGGCCAGCCCGTCTTAGCACTGCATGTTCATTGAGCATATACATAATTGCTGAATTACAAACAACCCTTGGTTTAACATTAGGATTTTAAAGTTGCTTTGACACTTTTCAAAGCCTACGTCAAATGTAGAAGAGCTATGTCTGTTATAACTTATAAAGTGAGGAATCCCTTTAGTTGAAACCATTCATTACACTTTAAGATTATCCAAGACAAGAAATTTTAAGACCACATCACTATTATAAGAAAAGTATTTATTATAAAATTATGACATTTCTCTGAACATAACCTGAAAACAAAAACATAATTCACACATTAATAATAAATTAAGTGGGCCTGGGCATTTAGTATCCATCCAGTAGAGCTGAAAGTCTCCTGTGGGTTCATAAATAACAGAGAGGACTATTCCAACCTAATTTACACAGTTGATGCTATTGAGATCCTAAAGATTTTCTTTTCTTTTCTTTAAACATAGCTTATGGCATTTGGGCTAATTAACCAAAATGTCATAGATCTTTGGTAAACACAAGTATATATATGCACAAATATGTAGCTGAAATTTCAATTAAAAAAACAAGCCAGCAACAATGATACAACAGGCAACCTAAATGTCAACAGTTTTGTGTGATCAATCAATGCAGGAGGCAAAGCCCTGCCATCAAAGTCATTGTCCAGGACTTCTACAGGTGAATCTGAAATCCAGAACAAATAGCTGTTCACAACCAGAAGACCTCAGCACTAGGTCACCACGAACTTAAATACAAATTTCAAACTCAGCTGACACACAGGACTGATAATTTCACAGTGCAGAAGAAAGCTTTGACATTAATTTGACACAATGATTTTATTATCTCACGAAGCTCCTTATCCTTTAAGAGTGAGATCCTATTTAAGAAGCCATACCGCTTTCAAGGACACAGTTTCCTCCTCCTCTCTACCCAGAAAAACACAGAGGAGTCCTTGGGTTAGCTGGTAGGGAAATAGAAAGATGCCTGTCTTCTGTTTCCTTCCTTTCCTCTCTCGGTTCCTTCCCTTGTTCCTTTTCTTTCGTTCTTTTGTAAGGTGATCTGCATGGATCACCTCCCCCTGCCAATTATGCCTGTATCCTCCCAGTCTTTCTGCATGTCACAACATTTAGTTACTAGTTCTCAACATCTCCATGATTCACAAAGGACATCATTCCATTATTCTCATCATTCTGGCACAAGAACTTTTTACTTCCAGACTACTCAAAAAAAAAAAAAAAAAAAAAAAAAGGCTCCAAGAAGATTTAAATTTTAATGTCCTCAAGCCAATTGGCAGTTAGAAAATTTGAACGATATGTTAATGTTGGAGTGTAAAGAATATAACTAAAACATAAAATACACATCTTTTAAGCCTGGAAAGTAGACGCCCTTAGAGTCTTCACCATTTCCAGTCAGAGAAGAACCATCTCTTCCCAGTTAAGTTCTGAATATGTGATTTCTTTCCCTAATATGCTTTTTCCCCCCACATACAATCTTTGGATCACTTTGGCAATTTATCTCCCTTTCCAACCCAGCTTCCTGAGTTCAGTGCATATTTAACATTTCACTGTAGGCTAGGCACCAGCCCCAAAACACTGGCTTATTGAGTGCAGCCCAATCAGAAAAGGCTGCATGATGCTGGAAGTCTCGACAGAGAAGCTTTCTTCTGAGTTTGCACATCGGCTACAAGCTCAGGAAAGTGCTTTGATTCCTTTCATCCTGTTCTTTCTAGAACATATCAACACCTATAAAATGTTCATTTACATACGTTTCTAGTAACTCTCTAACCTTTGTATGGCAGGAAAACACCGCGGTCTTAATATTTAAAGTTCACTGAATACCAATCTATCTAGATGGCAACAAGAATTCTACAACATCCAGCTGTTGAAATTGCAAACCTCAGACTCGGTACTTGCTGAGGAAGAGGTGCAACTCAGAGATGGACTCCTTTCCCTGCATTTGGAATAATCATGGATCATTCTGCATTGCCAAATGAGAAGCAGGCCACCTGTTACCTACTGGAATCCTGCCCTGATTTCTCCCTGGTCACACAACCAAGCTCCGCCACTCGCTGGATCAATGTCTGTTCTAGAGTTGATTTTTTTTTTCGCTTGCTTGGTTTTGTTTGCAGAAACAAGAGTCCACACACGTATTCATGAAGCAGCGCTGCCATAGACCCACTTTGATCCCGTAAGGTTTCCTAAGTGTTCCTCTTCACACTGCCACCTCCTTTGACAGGTTTTTGGGTTCCCTGCTAGGGATACACCAGTCATCGGCTTCAGAACTCATCTGATAATGCTTGAAGGCTGACTTGTTAAAGACAGGGAGCTTTTCTATAGACTCAGAAGATAAAGCCTAGACGGAGGGCAGAGAAAACACCAAATTAAAGAAATGACACATGGCTGTACTTCGTTATTCAAAATACACTCAGAAGTATGATGTAATATCCAAACAGTCTCAGTGAGTTGACTTTGTACACATGACAGTTGCATACTTGAGGAAACAGTGTTGAAGAAGAAAGCAACTCTTTCCAGAGAGAAACCTGCATGTCTCTGCTGGAGGCCTAAGATGCCACTATTCATCATTTAGAGACTTCTTTCCCTACAGTTTGAACTCTTTTGCCCATTTCAGAAATAAATAAGTACAGTAACTATTCCAGACAGTCAAAGGGCACTTCAGCATTTAATTCCAACGAACAAAACAAAAGCCTAGAAGCTTGATGCTGTGGTTCTTTCTAGCTGGAAAGACAATTTTGGTCAAAATACTTGGCAAACAATGAACTGAGTAATCCTAACAAACAAATTTAGGCTTTATCCGAGATAGGAAAACATGTTTCACGTTTTAAAATCTAAACAGGGAATTCTTGGCACCCACTGACAGCTCCTGAGCAATTGTTCTCCTGGGTTTTAAGTAGAGGCAGCTTAAGGTTACAAAGATCTTGATTTGCATTGTTGTCGTCAGAAACACCACTAGCATGTATTACCCACAAGGCTGAGTAAAACAGAACCCTAGCTACCCTGACAGCTGTGAAGAGAGGTTGTCTGAGGTTTGCATCGGTCTGCTGTCACTCTGAAGCTTTTTCTGTCTCTGGGTCAGCACTTGAGCCAACGTGGCTTGGCTTTCTCTTGGGTATGTGTGCACATATCAAAACAGGAACTTTAATAACTGTATATTACGTAGGCTAACTCAGTTTGAAGAGTTCACAGAGGACCGTACAAATGAAACCATGACTTTAAAAAGATGGCTTTCTACTGAGTTCAAAGCATACCTTTAAGTAGATGATGGCGTCTGTCCCATAGCCTGACATAGAGTAGAGATTCAGATCTCCTTGAAAATACTTGGCATAGAGACGAGAAATTGGCAAGCCATAACCAAAACCAGCCTGCAGGTGGAAGATCAAGGGTTAGTGAAAAAGCAGACATGATCACCGGAATACCAGACGTGAAAAGGAGCTAGGATCCTCTCTGAAACTCATGTTTGAGAACCTAAATGAATAACAACTTCTCCCAATCAGAGGTCCTTAGTGTTTTCCCTCTAAAGTTAGCTAGCTTTGTCTTATTTCTCAGATTCCTGCATGCCTATCTCACTACATCGATGAACTTGCCTAAATATTATTTTTATAGTTCCCACCCTACATTTAGATCTAGGTGGCTGGGATGATGTCAGGTGTATCATCGGCCTTACCAAAGGGGCATTCCGGGAATTGTCCATCACAGGGGTCGGGGCAGTGGAATACGTGTAACTGAAGAGGCGGTCAGTAATCCTCAGAGGAACACCGCCTCCTCGGTCAGAAATCTGAAACAGGCAACCAAATAGGTCAGAGCTATACTTTAACAACAATGGGCACCTGTCTTAAAAAAAGAAAAAAAAAAGTCTTCCTGTCCTTTAAAAGCCATCTGGCACACATGGCTTCGAGAGTTGTCCCAAACAGAAAGCCATGCTATTATCGGCCCCTTTTAGTTCTCTCTAGACAGAACCCAAAACAAAAGCAGGGAGCAGTTACCTTGATTGTAAGGTCTTCTTTTCCCAAGACGACGGTTGCCTCAACTGGTGTCAGGGAAGGGCGATTTTCTTGATGCTCAACTGTGGCCCTCATGGCATTCTAAAGACAACAAAACCATAAGGAGTTCAATGAAAATGAATGAGAGACAATAAATAACTGGTTTTATGTTTAAAATAAAAACAACAGAGGGCAAATTCAAAGTCCCTATTTCTTAAGTGAGTGATAAAACATCTCTGTAAATATAGCTGCTTATGAATGTGTCATGTAGAATGTATAATGAAAAATCTTCATTTACCATGTAATATAGCTCCTGGGAGTAATGTATAATGTAAAAACAATTCTGCTGGCTGTCAAGTTCTTATTAGTAAGCTTAATTTAAATGTAGAAATTGGTTTTTATAGTCCATTTCCTAGTGCCTTATTTTTCTGTCTTTCCATTACATTTTATATCCAAACACCAAAGACTATTACATAAGGAATGAACAGTGAATCATTGAACCAATTTATTGGCTTTTATAAAACTTGCTGGAAAAAAAAGTTATTACTATTTAAAAGGACAGTCAATAATTCTAAATTAAATTTCTATTTGCATTTGAACATCATCTTAACTTTCACTAGTGATGGCAGAATAACTCTGTAAGGTAGAGTGTTCAATTAAAAACAAACTAAATTGACGAAAAAGTATCACATTTTCCTTAACACAAAGTAAACTAAAACAAATCTTTAGCTTACCAGGGGAAGGCCCAGTAGGTAAAGTCTCATTTCATTTGTCTGTTTTCCTTTCTGACTATCCTTTGGTATCAGTATATGACACCAGATATTCACTGAGGTGAAATAAAATAGATCAGATGTTTGATAGTTTCATCAATACCTCACTGTAAAACACTAGAGTAAGCTAGATAACAACTGGCTTTGTCAGTATTAGAGGCAGATTTTACTTTTTAAAGTATCTCCTCCTTCTGTCAATCCAGGAAATTATCTTAGAGCTCAACACAAGCTTCAAGTGATTCTTATTTTCTCACTGAAGTTCGGAGTGTTGGTATGATCTCAGAATGGAAAAAAAAGGATTTGGTACCAATATTTAGTTATGCAGAATAGAGAAATCTGAGTCTTCAGAGTACTGCAAATGTAAATTCTCAGACCTACAGAACCTAAATATCTCCATGAATCTCTCTTTTTTTGAGGCCTGTAGTTGGTTGTGCCACACAGTGCCTGAGAATCAGGGTTCTGCAGCCTGTGAGACTGTGGATAATCAGAATCCTAGAAATCAGAATCTCACAGCCCGTGAGACTGTAGAAATTCAGAATCCTGGCCACCACTCCAGACCTGCATTAAATTTTGCGTTTTAACACAGTCCACGCATGGTTTGTATTCATGTGATGGGACTGGCTGTTCTGGATACAGAATGTGCTCTCCCCACCCCCCAACCACCACCTATAGGACCTATACCTTGGAGTCAGCAATTGGAGAGTCTATATTTTGGAGGTTGTAAGACTTCATTCACTAACGCATTCACACGATGCCCTCTTTAAAGAACCAGTGACAATGTCTTGGTTACACACCTGAAGACATGGCGGGAGCACCCTTTCCACTCTATAGTGCTGAGTATAATGCATGTTCTCAAACATACTGCCTTACTTTGATCTCTGTGCACTTTTCCAAACATTGGCTATTTAGCTTCTTTATACCTAAGTGTTCTTGGAAGAGTGTATAGTGGTTTTTATTTAATGGGGAATGATCAAACTGTGAGCAGTGAGATATTTAAAGACAAACCTACGATTGCTGTGCAATATCATACCTTGAACAGTTCAAAGAGCATATGATGGAGGTGGGAAGGAACATACACGATGTGAATTGGTTGGCCTGGAAATTTTCCTAGAAAAAAATAATTAAACTCATTAAATCAAGAAACAAATATTTCGCTGAAATGAACCTCTGTGTCTATTTGATCAACGTTTTAGTTTTAAACAAGATTAGGATGACTGCCGTTTTCCTCAGCTGAAAAGTGTGACTTAGAATATTCCCTTTTCAACAGTAAAGACCGCTGGCTTATGTTCTGCATGCTCATACAGCTGCCCCTTTTATTCAGGATCAAAGTTTGCATTTCGTTGCAAATGTATGTGGTTGGATGAAGTGTGAGGTGGCAGAATAAATCAACTTACGTAGATGGTTGTATCTTCAACATGTTTGAACCATACGATGTCAGTGTTAAAACTAAATGCATTTGAAGACGGAAGGGATCACTACGCTCAGAACACTAAGATTAATAGTAGCCACAATTTTTATATCTCAATGCATATTAAATGACCTGATATTTTTTCACCACAAAACATTAAATCCTGAAGGCTAAATGCTTTTAGGTTTCACCAACAGGGTAAAGAAAACAGGAACAAAATCTCATGACACTAAAAAGAAAAATAAAAGTGTTCTTTGATGTCCCAGGACTTGGAAAGCTTTGAATGAGTAAACACAAGGAAGGTCTGGCACAGTCCTGCCTTTGTTTTGTCCAAGAGGTCAAGCAGTTTATCCGCACGTATTGTACAATTCTGCTTACTCTGAGTCAGTCATCATTAGCCCTGCCACTTTCATTTTAGTGTTCACTTACATTTCCATGTCCTCGCTCTATGAGTTAGTCTGCTTAAATCAAACAACTGTCAGTCTTGCCCCTAATAAATGTTACTGGATGTGTGTTACTTGTAAAACTATACTTATAGTGGAAAGGAATGAATATCTCTAATATAGGTATGCCTTGATCTGGGAGTAGAAGAGAATAAGATAAAGATCGCCCCTTTCATTGCTCATATAATCACCTCCATGTGTGAAGGCCTTGTCTCACCAGATAGCATAGAGTTCAAATTTTGAAGTATGTTCCATTTTCAGTTAGCAGTATATATTTGCAGTAAACTTTAAAAAAATGGTAAGAAAATTCAACACAAGTTCAAGTATACTTGAAAAATCCTTAAGTGTATAATACAATAAAACTGTTAACTATGTTGTACACCAAATCTCTAGAATTTATTCATCTAACACAACTGAATCTTTGCACCTATTCAAAAGCAATCCCTTATCTCTCCCCTGAGCCTTGGACAAGCACTGCTGTAACCTCTGCTTGTGAATAACTGGGGTTTATATCAATGAGATGTATGAGTCAGATAAAAAAAAAAAAAACAACCCACTGACTAGAATCATGCAATATCTGTCATTCTATGTCTATCTTATTCCTTATAGGGCAATTTATGAAGTATCCTTGTTCTCTAGTTCTGTGAATAACTTCTTGAGAAGGATATCTCCATTCACAATTGTTTTCCATACTTCAAAGATATCCTTGTTCTTCATATGCTACGTTTTACCATTTATTTATTTATTTTTGAGACACTGTCTTATATATGCTCAGCTGGCCTGGAAGTTGAAATGTAAGAAGGACTTGAACTCCTCTATTTCCCAAGTTCCAGGGTTCCAGGCACTGTGCCTGACAACAATCTTACATATTCTATAGTAAGCCATCTTTCCTTGATCTAAGATATCAGAGCCTGGGTACGTCTTTCCCCAAGCATTGTTCCGTATGAGTCACTGTTAGCAAGCTGTCTGCACAACTGAAGTTTTTCAGCTGAGGCGATTAGGAAGAATCTTGTTTTCAAAACAAAAGAAAACAAAACTTTGTATGAATTCTAAGTAAGCTCGGGAGAAGGAAAAGAACACAAAGCCTGCCTTTTATTTACAAAAACGGCAATACTAAGCTTTATCAGGCCTCCTTGTGTCCTGCTGCCAGCTTACCGTTAACTTGTGTGAGCTTTAATTCTGGCGATGTTAGGTAATACTGATCGCAGAGCATCTTCGCGCACTCAAAAGCATCTGGAATAAAAAATTTTTCATAACAATGAAATAAATTTACTCCAAGTACAGTTGTCAAGTGATCCAATGTGTTTACTACACTTACTCTAAAATTCTAGTCCCTGGAGAACTGGCTCACATGTATGAGAAATGTCTCTTTAATATTTTATTAAAGCATAATATTTTATTGACGTTGTAGCAACAGGAACACGTGGACTTCAGAGATCAAATATAATATATAAGAATACGGCACATGGACCACCTATGTTTAAATATTTTATGATACTATAATTGAGTGCTTACACTCCTGACACTCAAAAGCAGGGGGGGCTCGATGGTGGAATTCATAAAGCATAGACAGAACACGTTGAACAGAAATTCATTTACAGAATGCCGTACATTACAGATTTGCCCACCATGTATTATGCATTTTCAATAAGAGAAGAACAGTCGTCTAGAAGTTACCTTGGACCACCGCTACCACATCACAGCTAGGGTCGATACTTCCAATGTGGCTTGGGTTTCCTGTCTTTGAGTCACTGAATATAAGGACTGTTGAAAAAGGAAAGCAGAAAGTTGTTATAAAGCCACAGAGGCTGCGAGTGCCCGGTCGCCAGCCCTGGGTCCAGCCTCGGCATGGCTAATGCTCAGTACCACCACTCTGGACCATCTCCTGAGAAGCTCACTTACTGTGTTGGTTCATCAGCATCCGTGTAGAAATGCGGTTCATGTAGAACCGGTCCAAAAAATACTGAAGATTTTGATTGGTAACAGGATCGACTGTACAGCTGTCTTTGTACTCCAGGATCCCTTGAGCCATTGTAGGGATGACGTTATGATGTCTGTTTCGAACTTTGATGAGCGTGTCTACAAAGCTAAAGCAGAACATATACAGTTAGTGGACAGTGAGGAACTTTCCCACAGGTCCTTAAGTTAATTCAGAGAAAACTAAAGCTCTTCTTGTGTAGCCAACCTAAGCACAGCTGATTACAAAGTTCTGGAGCTTCTTTCAGACCGTCACTACGCGTTCTCCTACTGTAGCAGAAGCAGCAGCAGCTTCATGAAAGGGTTTATATTTCTAGGTTCCATGTAGAACTGCTCGCTCTATGACTGGTACATTCGTTAAAAGTGTTCATCCTATGAGTTCGAGGCCAGCCTGCTCTATAAAAGTGAGTCCGGAACAACCAAGACTACACAGAGAAGGCCAGTCTTGAAACAAACTAACAAACAAACAAAATGTTCATTAAGCCTACTTGTAAGAGACTATCTGAAATCAAAGAAGATTCCAGCAGCCACTGTGAAAATAAAACCCTTGAAGTTTCTCATCAGGTTTTTTTTTAAGACTGCTAATTTAGCTAGTTAGAAATCATTAAAAGAAAATATGTAATCACTAACGACCCAGAAGTCCGTTTAAAACTGTGTTACAGCAAACTCTCTTGCAAATACAATCTTTGGACTAAAATTAAAGCAAATATGGTATTCTTTGGAAAGCAAAACTGCTAGCCCTCGGTGTTTGTTCACACCCAGCATTAATTTCAGTTCTATAGTTCTTCACTTTTAAAACCACAATGAGCCAAAAATTTGTGTGTGGGGGGGTAGTAATTCCCTGGGAAAGGTCAGTGCTCTTTACATTAAGCTCAGAAAAGATCTGATTGATGTGTCCAGAACGACTCAGATTTCAAAACATGCATTTTTTTCTTTTCTTTCTTTCTTTCTTTCTTTCTTTCTTTCTTTCTTTCTTTCTTTCTTTCTTTCTTTCTTTTTTTAAAGGAAGAAAGCTTACTCTGATAGGGCTTTCTGGTCTTCTGGGCTCTTCTCGTGGAACTCCACCAAATCCATCAAGCTCTGAATGTACCTGTAATGGGAGACACTTTGAAATTAACGTCAGATGCAAACAAAGGGTTACAAAATAAAGCGACTTTTGAAATGATTGGAAAGGGGAAAGGAACCAATATGTATAAAATTGAAACTTTTCTTCAAGACCTTTAGAAAATTACATGTTAAGATATTTTTAAAGCAGCAATTTTCCACCCTCTACTTTCCTGGCCACTTTGGTTGGCAGATGCTTTCATTTCTTCTACTTTAGCAGAGTCGACTCTTTAGAAAGCGTTTCTGATTTTTTTTTTCTTTTTCTCAGACTGTGCTCCTCTGCAGGAGAGCTGGAGTCTTGACAGCGGCAGTGAGTAGCACTGCGCATACGTTTCAGATTAGACTCGTTCTGTAGGCACATGGGATGTCTTCAATTGCTGAATGAGATGCTACACAGAGGGTGGACTCAGGTTGAGCTCTGTATCTGCCACAGTCTACGGCATTGTTCTGCCTTCCAAGAACCTGCCTGCTAGACATCATGATTCTTAGTTTAAAGGCAAAATCAGAGTAACGGACTCTGAATTCTGGACATGGGCTGTGTGTGCATTATTTTAAGTCTTTTAAAGAAGTAAATCACCTCATGTAATTCTACGCGACAGCTCTTGTGACAATACGTGGGGACAGTAGAGGCAACTATGGTCTAAGACACCAAAGGAGCTTGCAAAGGCAGAATTTGAACCCAAGGATCACTTTGCTGATAAGAAACAAAAAGCAGACCCTCTCTGAACAGCATACATCTCGATCTTGGCAAAGAACTGCTTGTGCAGTTTCAGATTCCATCTTTTGTCAGGTAAAGCACAAAATTAAAAAAAAACTGCATATGCTGATTATCTTTCAAATGTATGTCATAAGTCAGAATTATATTGTCATGGAAGATGGGTATGGTGGTACATGCTTATAATCCCAGCAGCTGGGAGGTAAAGGGAAGTAGAGAACACTTCAAGGTCGTCCTAAGCTATATGAGGACTTCCAGGAGGCTGTGATACAAAAGACCCTGTCTTGAAAGATAAATAAAAAGGAAAAAAGGTGGGGAGGAGAGTTGAAAGGAAAAAGAAAAGCAAAACCAAAAGCACTCCCTCCAAAGTAAAGGAGAATTTTCTGTTTCATGACTGTCCCAGAGATAAGCTGCCCTAAGTTAGTACAAACTATTGACAACTTTCAAAACTATTTTCTGTTAAGACTGCCTGTTATCCAAGCATGGTGTTAATATGGTCCAAGACGTGCTGCTCAGGTAACACTTGAAGCCAGAGTCTTCAAAGCAGTGTGCCCCTTACCAGCTCTTCACCAGCTGCACCGAGGGGGTATTCACTAATCGGTGGGGCAGGATGTCGATCTCCTTCAGGATGTTGGCCAGTCTCACGGGCAATTCTTGCCGCAGGAAAGAAAAAGATGTTCTCTCGCAGGCATTTTCTGAACCTGTAATGGATGAAACATGTTCAGGTTCGGGGGTGGGGGGGGGAATGAAGACAAATAGCAAATACAAAGGACACAGTAAAATGGTATCTTAACCACAGTTAGGTTCGTGTTTACAGGTACTTTAAGGACATATATCTTTAGTGTCTTTTCCTTTCTATTTTTCTCCTTTTCATTTAAGAGTGACCAACATAGGTGAATTGCTATTTATTTCTTTCTGAGGAAAATCCACTCTGTAGAAATCAGACCACTCTCCAGTTATTCCTATCCATGAATTCAGGGCCAGCCTACACTGTAAAGTCGGACAGCACACCCTCTAGTGGGTATGAACTTGAAAGGGGCCGGGTAGAAGGAGGTAGAGAGCTTTCTAGACAAGCAATAAACAATTCCACACGGACATCTTCAGATGTGCCTTATAGCACGGCTGCAGAAAGGGACTAACCGGTTTTTATTTTAGTAGTAATGTAAACAGTTGTAAAACAATAAAGGTGAAATGGTTAGGATGTCTGTTAGGGGTGCTAAGTGATCAGCGGAATGTGTGTGTGGTACAAGATTAAATCTATCAGTCTGTGGTGATGGTTATTAGGAAGTACCACTTTGGGAAGAAAAGAGGAAGTTCCTAGTCCATTATTAAGACGGTGACTGAAAGCATATATATGTATATGCATATATGTATTTCATATTTTATATATATATATATATATATATATATATATATATATATATACACACACACACACACACACACACATACACACATATATATGTATTTCAACTCAAAGATCTAGAGCATTAGAAGAGGGAAGTGGAGTGGAAGTTGAGCATCAATATGGTTACAGGTGACTTAGACTTGTGATATAAACTGTTAGAAAGTAGCCAAACTAGGAAAACAGGTGCTCAGCCTTTTGAGACTCCTGGGTTCTTCAGCCAAGGGAACCTCATTTGCCCTTGCCCTGAGCTAAGCTCTTCCTATTCTGGGGCCTCCCCAGCCTCATCGCCACCCTCCTGGGCCCCTCATCTCCTCTCACCAAAGTCCAGCAGCTGCTTCATGGACAGCGGGGACGGGCTGTAGCGCGAGAAGAGTTCGACCTCCCTGGGGACCAGGCCGGCGCTGCTCAGCGAGCTGGCGCTGCGCATCACGAAGCGGGCCGCCTTCATCCTGATGCCCACCTAGGTTGCCGATGGCTAGGATCCTTTTGGGGTGGCGAGGGCTGCGGAGCCGGAGCGTGCTGTGGGCTCAGGGTCCCGGGTGCTCGAGGCGGGGTGAATGGTTCACTCTCGCGTCTTCCCACCTCCCGCTGCCCTGCCTTTTTATGTACCTCCCCCGCCCTCTCCACAACTCCAGCCGGGAGGAGTCACTGGGACTCTGAACTTGGGGCCACACCAATCAGCTCAGAGAAAAAAACTTTGGGCCCCGCCCCTTGGCCGTGGTCACCAGAAAGGCCTGACACCGTGATCCCGACACGGGTGTCACGGCCTGAGAGGGGTAAAGGGTGAGAGGGAGGCCAAGAAGGCGGGGGAGGTACTTTGCGCATCCGGGACACCGTGGGCCCGAGATTAGCCCTAGGGAAAGGCCTCAGGTCGCCAGGGGGTTCAGGCCCGCCCAGACTTGTCCTTGTTTACAACTCGGGAGCCATCTCAATGTCACACATTCCTCGGCAGAAACTGTTTCCGAGAATCTGGGCTCTGAGAGCGCATTGGTGCTCGCTCAGAGCGGGACTTTTACAGTAGCCAATCAGCTGCTTACCAAAGTGTGGGCTTCCCTGACATTGGGCCGGGAAAGCAACGGCCACCCCATAGTTTTCCCCACTTTCTTCTTAGCAGACAGCTCAGAGCTTCGAGTTTACAAACTGTCCTAATCGTTTCATCATTCTCTCCTGCAGCGCTTTCTGCCTGTTAATTAAATGCAAACTAAAACGATTAGCTGCCGGTACGACTGGCTTGGCCCCCACCTCCCCGTCAGAGAATTTGTTCACCTTCTCTTTGTCTAAGGTTCTCGGATGCCCCTCACAAACTATCTGCTCCAAAAGCTCTTTCTTCGTTGCTTGGCTACCCCCCTTCCAAATGCAGCCTTTGTCAGTTTGTAGCGATTGTAGCGTTTTGTAGTTACCTGCGCTCTTCAGTCTGTTTCTGACAGAGACTGGGGCTCTGTCAGATGCCCAGTGCATCCTACCCTGCTTTGTTAGCACTCAATATTTGCTCAGCTAATGACTGCTGTTGAAACGTATTACCCTGTCATAAAGCTCTCATCCTAACCACTCTCTCTTCCATCCACTCTAAATGCACTGTAGAATGAAGCCTGTATTTAGGGACCCTGGTGACGACTTGGTTACAAATGTAATGGAATTATTTCTGGGTCTTCTATCCGATTCCATTGATCCACCAGCCGGTTTCTATGCCAGTATCATGCAGGTTTTTTTTATTTTTTATTTATTTATTTATTTATTTTTTTATTACTGTTGCTCTATAGTACAGCTTGAGATCAGGGATGGAGATACCTCCAGAAGATCTTTTATTGTAGAGGATTGTTTTTGAGGTTGTGGGTTTCTTGTTATTCCATATGAAGCTGAGAATTTTTCTTTCAAGGTCTATAAAGAATTGTGTTGGTAATTTGATGGGAAATGCATTGAATCTGTAGATTGCTTTTGGTAAAATGGCCAGTTTTACTATGTTAATCCTGCCAGGCCATGAGCATGGGAGATCTTTCCACCTTCTGACATGTTCTTCTATTTCTTTCTTCACAGACTTGAAGTCTTTGACTTGCTTGGTTAGAGTCACGCCAAGATACTTCATATCCTCTGTGGCTATTGTGAAGAGTGTTGTTTCCCTAATTTCTTTCTCAGCCCATTTGTCTTGGGGGAGGGGCATGGGAGGAGAAAAGGGAGGGTGGGATTGTGAAAGGACGGGGAGGGGGGCTACAGATGGGATACAGAGTGAATAAACTGTAATTAATAAAAATAAATAAATCAATAAAAATGCAATGAAATGGGAACTAACAAGGAGGCAAGGGCAGTTTATTATCAAAGGTCCTCGTTAGCCATCACCTTGCATTTAAGGAGAACGGGCTGCTGTGGAAGTCATGGGGTGACTCTAAGGTATGCTCCCACTCTTCATTTTTTTTTTCCTGTGAGATCTTGCCCGGCCACACAACTGGTTTCTAGTTTCTATCTCTAGTGCAAACTCTGCCTCCAGAGCCAGACTCCAGTATTCTGCTGATTCCCTGACGTGTCCGCTCACAGGTCTAGTATCAATTTTCCTCCACTGAAATCCATTGCCATTATGAAGGGTGGGGGTTAAGGATGGGTGGGTGGGTTGTCGATCTAGTCCCCTCAAACTCTGTGTCAACTCGTGTGATACGGTTAGAAATACCACATTGGCTTTGCTGTCATCTCCCACCTCTGTCTGGTCATAGCCTATACATTCTAGCATTTATGATTGCCTTTGTACCCAGGCATTTTGCTCAGACTTATGGGGGGGGGGGGAGGAATCAAAAGTGGAGACTTTTGACATTCATAGTCTTTTGATAATGAGGGTATGGTAAAGACACTGAGGAATAATATGGAGATGAATGAAAAGACATCAGCAGCTTCACCTTAGTGAAGACAAAAAGAGAAGAAAACTGGCTAAATGACGTGCAACTCAAAGCTCTGCATCCCCAGCACTTAAGCTAAAAGAGTTCTGGACAGCATGGGTGTCTGTACGTGGACCCCACCAGACCCCATACTTGTGCTTGGAATCCTATGTAATATAAAGCTCTGGGGAGCAAAGAAGTATCCAGAGGTCAAAATGAAGTAAGACTGTCTTTTAATGAAGCAAGGGGACAGAAGGTAAAAGTTCCCTTTCTATCCTGGATGGCATCCCAAGAAATGAGAGTCACACACTCACATCACCTTACACAGATGAGATCGGGCATAGGCGAAATTTCATACTACAAAGTAGGATATTCTAATCTGGAGAGGGAAGGAAAGTGCGTGGGGCGAGATACATAACTCTCATTTAGAAAGTCCCATTTTTCTCAAGCCTATTGTGTGCTCAGCCTTACCCTATGGCGCTGTGGGGTGTATACAGGTCAGGTGGAGTCACATGATGCTCACAGAGATGTCTAAAGGCTAAGTGTGAACCGAGGTCACCAAAATTTTTGTCTCCATGTTATCCTATCCAATAATATTTACCAGGCTGCTCTCGGGACATGGCATTCTTCTGTGTCACTTCAGTGTGATGGGAACTGTTGTTATTCCTGGCAGCATGGATGGTAGCTGAGCTGGAATGACCAAGTCAGATTTTTACCTAGTTGGCAAATGTGCCATATGATACCGTGACTTGAGGGTGGACTGGGATCTGTAGCCTCAGACTGACCATAAATCCTGGAGGGGATTCAGTTGAGACAAAAGTCAAGTGCAAAAATTATTTGGGAATCACAGGTCAGAACCAATTCATGTGTTCGATTAAATAAACACAAAGTATGAGAAATCTACTCTCTCCATGCTGGGAAGTGGGAATCCATACTGCCCCTTTGCAGAACTGGCTAGATACAACATCCCAGCTTAAAACACAGGATTCTTGGTTTTTATCAGTTGTACTTTCACCTACATTAAATTTGCCTGCATCCTTTGCCTGAGAAAAATCTAATAATATAATGCTGTTTAGGGGAGCTTTGGGAATGTAAGTCACTGTTTGGCCAGTGTGTGTGTGTGTGTGTGTGTGTGTGTGTGTGTGTGTCTGTGGTAGTGATGGTGGTGGTGACATAGACAAAAGTGAGTCAAAATCCTTTAAAAGAAGCCTATTTGGGTCCCCCCACACTCTAGGGGTATAGTCCAAGAAAGCAATGGAAAAATAAGCATAGCAAAACTCCAAAGCCATGACTTGTTAGCAGATTTGACAATAGAATACTTATAGTTAAGGGTGACTGGCAAATTTGGAGAAAATATTTACCAGATATGTACCAGATAAATGGTTGTTTCAGAAATGGCTTTTTCAGTAGGATGAGAACAGTCATGGTTTGGGATTAAAGCAGTCATGGTTTGTTCCCTCTTGGAGATCATGGACTTGGGTAGAGAAGAGTCATCATAAAGCAAATGGACACTGAGTCTACACATTACGTTAGATCAGAGCTATCAAGAAAATGCTCAGGAAGAACAGATGAGCTGGAGTGACCTTGGACTTGGTGGTCAGAGATATTCTCCTGGCAAGAATGACCACTAAACGAGATGGAGTAGCTCTCTGTTGTGAAAGGCAGAGAATGCCAGTGAAAACATATAGTTGTAAATGATTTAGACCAGAGCCTAAAACTTCTTCCGGTTGCCGATCACTTAGAAGACATTAGGTGCGGGAGCTGAATCAGGTGTCTTGGTGGATGTAACATCACCTATACCTTTAAGTACTCCAGACTCACAAAGGATGATAGGAAAAAATGGTTATTCACGTCTAAATTTATGAGGCTTTCATTTAATCCACAGCATAAAAGCTATAACTAAAGACATTAAAACAACAGTCACGGGCTGTGGTGACAGTTATGTTGTCAGACAAGCAGCAATGCTATTGAGCCAAAGAGGCATTTGGAGAGAGAGCTAGGCTGGTGATCAGGGCTTCTGCCCTTGAGAGCTGGTATTTAGGAGGATCTTAGAAAAATAGGTAAGGTTAGCAAACAATTGGTAGGTAATGAGGAAGGATGTTTGTGTCTTGGTCAACTACGGGTATTCTGAGCCTCAGACATACAAGAGGATTAATGGCTGGTTTAGGCTGCCTATAGCCTAGAGCATCCTTACAGAAGATGGAATGAGATATTGTGCTGCATGTTCAAATTAATTATCAACAATTGAATTCCACTAAAATTTATTGAGGATGTGTTGTGTAACAGGTACCATGACGGACGGACGCTAGGACCATAAAGATAAAAATGGGACAGTTATTACCTAGAGGATAGTACAGATTTGGGAGTAACCTTGACAAAAAAAAAAAAAAAGTTGTCACCTATGTGTGAGTGTGGAATAAGCAGTCAGGGAACACTTCCTCAGAGGAGGCAACATACCATGTATGTTTTGATGGTGGAAGAGAGCCTCACATGCAGGCAAGGGAAAGGACCCTGGAATAGAGAGGAGCACTAAGGGGAAGCCATTGTGTTCGTAGGATCTCTGGGCTTTGTCAAACACCAGGATGAAGTTTACTAACTTTGTTTTTCCAAGTTCTCTTGTGTTCTCAGTCTGTGCTACTGGGAATTGTTGATGTCATCAGGGAAAGTGAGGCCATTGGTAGAGCCTGGCAGATGGGCTGGGCTGAGGACAGCTCAGGTGATGAACTTGTTTGGGAGTGTGTTTGTTAATGAAAAAAC